CCGTTAAGGCCAGGTACGCCGCCCCCACCCGAGAGGATTGCATAGCATCCACCATTTCGGTCGCTTTTTCCACATCATGACCTTCAATTATCACGAATTATAATGCGGGCCTTGATCGTTGCCAGCTTACCAGAAGTTTTATCTTCGCACCGTTAGACCATGAGAATCTCTATCATTATTCCATAAATGCACCATTGACTTTTCCTTGCTCACCTTCCGGTAAACCGATACTCCGAAGCAAAAATAGCGCGCTTTACAACGACTCTATCCAGGCCAGAAATCCCGATATCAACAAATATACCCCCCACTCCGCCAAAGAGAGCAAACGTTCCCAGAACTATTCACTTAACCCACCCCATCCCCTCGTTAAGAAAAACTGCGCACTCGGTTCACTGGACAAAACGCGCTCGTGAATATACCAAACTATAGCCGTTCATCCTACAAGCAATCTCAGTTTCAGCAGGCGTGGCCACGTTTCCAGTTGCTGTAAGATTAATTCGACACCAGCAACAGACACTGTAAATTAAATAGCAGCCACAACGCCCTTCTTTGAAACCGTCAGGATGAGAAAGTTTATAAAAGACTTAACAGGTGTACGCGGCGGTTTCCTTTTCTTCCTTCCCTCCCATTGTAGCGCTCAAATTCTAACCCTGATATTAATTCTAGTAGTGATCAATCGTTCCTGAGCCGATAGGCACAAGGATACCAGTTTCTTACAAAATATGCTGTGACATCCGTTTGTTCATCCCCCTTTCTGCCTTCGGCCACTGATTAGGTTTGGTTCTGTGCTTTGAAATAACTTTAGGAACGAAACATGATACGTGAGGGGCGTGTCCGGCTAAGGGCAAGTGACTCTCGGTGGTGAAGACATATACTGAGCTTGTCAGTATTTCGTAGCCTGTACCACGTCGCGAAAATAGAACAAGCCAAAGAAAAATTAGAAGCCTTTCTTTCCCCAGCCCCCGCAGGTTTTTCGCATTAGTTTTTACTGCACAACTGATTCTACCTTTTCGAGCCGGAGCGAACATGGACGCCCTTGGGGTTAAGTTTCCACTTCATTTTCGGCACCTGACTAAACGCAAGCGCTGACTTGTGCGCCTATGCTTCGTTGCACTGAAGTAGCAGTATATGACCACGACAGACTTGCTGCTATCCTTGGTTTGAAACCACAATGGGCAAGAACAATTTCTTGAAAAGAGCAAACTATTTCCTCCTTAGCAGACATGGAGTACAACTACTAGGACTTAAGCAATGCCATTGCTTAAGTCCCACTAGACTTGAAAAGAGAAAGCGTGATGCTTTCTCTTTTTAATGATTTACGGCTAAACAGTACAATTTCATGTCGCTTTTACGCAAAATTAAATACCTAGTTGTTTGCAGAATTGCATTTAACAACAAATTACAGAAATTTAACTAAGTTTAGATGTCATAGATAAGAATTGAACGGAAAAAACTTTTGGGGTAAAAAAGTCAACAAATAATGTTTGCTGGAAAATCACTTAATGGGCCGGGCATACAATAGCAGAGATATCATGTCTGTAATTTTCTGTTCAATGCACCTTTATGACAAGTCTGACTAATCCACTGGTAACCCATGCCTTAAAACCGCCTTGAACCTTAAAATTTAATCCATTTGCCTCTCATGCGTAGTGCAAATATATCTTCTGAACAGTCCGGGGTTGGGGGTAAAATCAGAAGAACAGCTGACATTCAGTTACTGTACCATTTTTAAAAGTGGGACAGTATGTTTGCTAATCATCTTAGTTAACCGCTTTTAAAATAGGACAAAAGGACACCTGGTCATACAGGAAAATGAATTTACTGTATCCCGAAAGCTTTTGTTTCCCGTGCACTTATTTTTCGCAGGAGACAATCGATAATTGCTTGGTCACGCAATCGGATTAAAAGTCATTGATACCGTCGCCGCTTAGCAAATACACTACGTGCTGCAAAGGATCCAAATTGCGCTAGAATGTTTTCCTATTCGGCCCACTTTTTATCTCAGGTAAGGCACTGCAAAGCTGATTCATTTACGAAGGTTCGAGCGGAATTATTTCATGATGTTATTCTGATTTCGCAGTCAAGGGAAAACAGACCTAGACTCAGGTCCACTCGCAGACGCCATGGTACAATCTACAAGATCTCAAGAACCGAAATTACCCATTGAACGGCCTCTCCTTTTCAAGATTACGTGTATTTCATTAAAACAGGTACATATGAATCTTGTTAGTTTCTCCCTTTTAACGAGCTCAAATCGATGCATAAAACTAAGGTGATGTGGACGTGTCAACTGACCCCGGGGTCAATTAGCGGTTGTTTGGGGCAAAATAACCTCAAAATAATCAATCTATTTTACAAGCGTTCGCAAGAACACCAGACTAACTTTCAGATAATGTTGAAGTACTATATCTCATTAGGTAGTAAGCGGGATTTGGGGTGATTTGGAGAATTCCCCCATATAGAAAATTCGATTTTGGTTTTAGCGGTAAATTGTTGTATTTATAAGCATTATGCAAATTACATTTCAAAATTGTGCTCGTTCGTCAATATTTTATTCTCTAAATCTAAAAAAATGTGCTGTTTAGAAATTGTTAGATATCTGCTTTTTGAGATTTAAGTGGAAGATTGCCAATATATTGGCTCGTTTATGAAAGTCAGCTCATTTCTGTCGCTAGGCTATATTGCCGTGTTCGGCGGCTAATTTTAGTCCCGCAGACCGTTGAAATCGAAAATCTCAAATAATTCCCAAATTCGGCCGCATTTTGAAATTTAAACCTCAGCAGTGTTATAAATTCATTAAAACCATATTACAGACTTAAAATGAGGGTAGGTTAGGTTTTGAGCTGTGGCCACGGTTTGCTCGATTTTTCTGTGCATTCGCTCTTAATACTTACGTTTTTTTAAATAAAGGGGGTCTTTTGTTTTTAACACGTTTTCGTGAGGGAAATATCATTTCCCTCAACCCCCCCCCCCATCCCCCAATCCTAAGTTAATTTTAGCCTGAACAAATAAGAGGGACGTTTTTGGCGGGAAAAATTAATTCCCCCTCCCATCCTAATTAATCCACCCCTTTTGTTTTTTTAACGTTTTTTTGTGGGAAATATCATTTCCTCAACCCCCCCATCTCCCCAATCCTAAGTTAATTTTAGCCTGAACAAATAAGAGGGACGTTTTTCGCGGGAAAAATTATTTCCCCCTCCCCACCCATCCTAATTAATCCACCCCCCCCCCCCCCCCCCAATAGGAAGTAGGCCTCGATGTGAAACAATTCGGGCCCAAATTCTATTCGTGCCGACAAGTTGGGTCCAATTCTCAATCGGGCCTGATCAAAACAATTCGGACCCGAATTCTTTGAGATCCCACCTGAGATAGATCGGACCCGACTGCTGCAATTCGGATCCGATTTAAGTTCGTGTCCGAATGAAGCAGTCGAGTCCGAGTTATTATTCGGGCCCGACTGGAAAATATGGGACCCGGTATCCCAGAAAACGATAAACATCCGTGTGACACGCGCTCCTGGCCGCTAATTCACCGATGCGAAAGAAACCACAGAAAGCTGTGAGAAACATGGCTGAAAAAAGTATACGCTGAGCTGCCGAAGAGTTGGTGTGCTGGAGAGAGCTTACGAGGTCACGCAAGATAGGTTTAGATATCGGTAACCTCAGACATCACACGATTTCTGACGACTGAGCGAGGTCAAAAGTTTTTGAATAGGGAAAGCCTTTGTGAGGTCATGCAAACCTTTCATCTTGTGGACGTAACCAATCGCCGATAGATAAGAAAGAATAGTCGAAGGCGAAAGATTTCTACCGTCGAGAAAAGAAATAAAAAGCGCCAAAGACGCGGTGGTTAACGGTAAATCGAGGGCTTTTGTCTTGTAAAACTTCTCGTGAAATTCACGAAATAGTGTCCACGCTCTACGGTATGACTGACCCGAACTTGACGCCAATACAGAGCTCAAGAGACTCTCTAAGTTAGTGACCATCTCTTCGGCAAAAGAATCTCGGGCACTATTGTTGGCAATTCGTCTGCTTGGGGTGAAAGTTCCTTGAACCGTGCTATCTGAAATCGTGAAAGACAATCGGCCCGGGTATCATTAAGACCTGGTATATGTCGAGCACGAAAGATAATGTTATAATTGAGAGCAGTTAGAACCAAGTCATGGATCAATATCATAACTAATTTGTGTTTGGATGTCTGTTGATTGATAATACTGACCAGCGCGGCGTTATCAGTAACAAACACGATACATCGGTTAGCCATCTGAGAACCCCAAATACGCACTGAGAGGGCAATAGGAAATAGTTCGAAAAAGGTAATATTGAAGGATTGCCACTGATCGGTAAAAGAGCCGAAGAACCAGTGAGGGCCAAAGATAGCACCATAGCCCTTTGATCTGGCCGCATCGGTATACAATTCGAGAGGAGGAGATGTGTTCCACTTATCATCCAAGAAAAAGGAACGGCCAGAAATTTTAGCCATACCTCCATATCGTGTTTGGTTTCTTTAGTGAGCCTAATGCGATGATGTGGGCGTCTCCCCCCAATAGTGAGATCAATTAGGCGGCGAAGAAAAGCACGCCCAGGGACGATTACAGAACAGGTAAAATTTAATAGACCTATTAGGGACTGTAATTCTCGCAAAGTAACTTTACGACGTTTGCAAAAGGATTCAAGTAATAGGCAGCATTTTTAAAGCTTATCTTCCGGCGAACGAGCTTCCTGATTAATGGAATCGAGTGTGATACCCGCAAATTGTATGACTTGAGATGGTCCACAAGTTTTTCTTGAGCAATGGGCACGCCGAGATAATCACACATACGAAAGAAAATTGCTTAAATCGGTGCGGCATTGCTCTTCGGTACGCGCAATAAAAAGAAAGTCGTCAAGAATGTGAAGAACTCCGGATGCGCCAAATCGGTGCACAGAGATCCACTCCAAGGAAGAACTAAAAGCTTCAAAAATTTGACACGAGTATGACAGTCCCATAGGAAGACATACGTCAAAGTAAAACTGATTATTCCATTTCATGCCTAGCAAAGGAAAATCGGACGGATGAATTGGAATAATCCTGAAAGCCGATTTAATATCGGTTTTGGCTAAAAAACAACCAGCCCCTAAACTTTTAAGTACCGCAATGGCATCAGAAATAGAAGCGTAGTGAACCGAAGAATGTGCGTCCGGTATGTTATCTTTTACTGAGGTGCCCTAAGGGTACGATAGGTGTTGAATTAAACGGAATTCAGAGGGGTCTTTTTTGGAACAATGCCTAAAGGAGAACAAACAAAGTTTGGAAAAGGAGGGCAAATAAAAGGACCACATATCCTCCCGGCCTCACACTCTTTACGTAGTTTGGTCCGAACGATTATCGGTTGGTCTAAAGCGCTTTTAAGGTTGGGTGAGTGCAACGCGCAGCGTTCCCCATCAAAACCAACGCGAACACCAAAAGTAAACCCATTAACTAAATAAAGGCGGAGAGAAGTTTCGTATCCGCTAAGAAGGAAATTAAGCCGATCCACCTTTACGGGTGTTACTGGCTTGTGCAGCGACGGTTGAAATGCCTGCTTTGACGGGGTGTGTTTAAGGTTGGCTGGAGGAACACTGTGCCGCAGGGTGTTTTGAGCCACACTTATAGCAAATGTGTTCGAAACGGTACCCGTTGCACACCTTCCCCGCATGGAAACGCCAGCATGTGCCTCTTGGAAAGGACTGGGAGCGGGGGCGCAGTGGTCCCTTGTCTGAGGAAAATTGGGTTTTCGGACGAAAATTTGTCACAGCCTTTAGCCAAAGTTCCCAGTGAATAGCGTCCCATGGGTATTGTGCAGGGGCTGATTGCCTTATGAAACGAAATTGTTCGTCATAATACAACCAGTCACCTGGTTTTGCGGCGATATCGTGGACAATTTCACAATATTTCATCAGCTTGGGTGTGTCCGTGGGTATTTTTTCCGAATAGATCGCAACAAAAATATTAAATGCAGAGAGCCACTGGTTGATAGTTTGGATCTTTTTAACTGGTTGGCTAGGTTCTAAAGTTAAGTGTGGGCGGGTGGTCTCACTATCCGAAGAGGCGAGAGATAGAGAATACTTTTGATTATTGGGAGAAAACGAGAGGAGAGTTCCAAAATCAAGATATTCGTTGGACCAGCGTTTGGCCTTGACTTTGGAACTCACCCGACTGCTAAGAGAAACAGCCACGCTAGAAAAAATTTGTTTCGGAGCCGGCGAGTCTAACCCAGGCTCAGCTAAGGTGACAACGTTTTCGCTACGTGATGGAGTACCTTGGGTGATCTCGGCCAAGGATGCGTTGACTCTATTGGCCACTGACTGGTCCGTGGAGGACTGTGTCTCCTGGCTGGGTGCGGCTGGCCATTGCCCTTTCACTGCCTCCGAGACAGCTAGCTGTACTGCGCTAGAAATGGAGGCGGAGAGGGCCTGCATATTGACGGCCATGAGAGGCTGCTCCGTTTGAGTTGCAGGTTGTTGTTGATCACTGGATCCAGGGCGGGTCTCGATCATTTTTGTTACACGCGCCCGCTTCGCAGAACTTCGCGTGCGTGTTTGAGACGTTCGCTTCGGCTTAGGAGGCATAACTTAGATAAGTAAGAGTAATTAGATTAAGATAAGGCTAAATGCCATATGTTTCCGCTAAGATAAGATAAGATATCAAAACGGTATGAGTCAAAGAGGAGCAAATTAATGAAAGGTCTGAGCCGGGATGTTTATTTTTCCTTTGAGTTTTGTCTTTTGTTTGTTTGTTGGTTGTTTGTTTAACAAACGGTAATGTGGCTAAGCTACGCACACATAATGGTGACGAATAACCGAACTCTGCTGAAAACCAAATGGCGAGCCATGTAGCAAGAATTGAGTGACATAAATGCCTGGTAAACGAATATCAAAGTGCATTGAGGACACTCCCAAATAAGGGCGGTCGAATAGGATTGCACACTCATAATATTCACCAAGACACAAAGTATGGATAATGCCAACGCCAGCAAATACAATCTGTTATGCACGGAAGGCAAACAACAGTTCTGTAGAACTGTAAAAACAATGAGTGCAGCCAAAATAGAATGCGCCCAATTAAATAAAGGCGGCAAGTCAGTAACATAAACGGCTGTCACTAAAACAAAGGCATGGCGAGGCAAGAACGTAAACTTTAAAAGGCGCGACTAGGAAATGAAATGAAACGTTGAAAATTCAACAAGACGAAATTGTGCTGAACAGGCTCAAGGACCTTAGGATTGCTCCCCTAAGACTACGATGGTATTTTTCCTGACCGAAGGAATTGAGATGCACACCATCTCGTGCGTAAAAGTTCTGAGTCGGGCGCCAAAACCCCCTATGGCCCCAAAAGATAGCATAAGGTATAGGCTCTAAAAGGTATTTCGTTAACAGCTTGGCCTTACGATTAAAGACCACTGCGCCCTAGCGCATGATGGTCGAGCACACGCAGACAACCTTAACACCATAGGTGTCATGCAATAGCCTAACAAAATCTTCAATAGCTGAGCCAACATGTAAAGGGTCAGAGTCTGTTAAATCATTGGAACCCAACTGCATTATAACTATCTCCGGTCGAAAGGACTCGATAACATTCAGGTCAAGATGTAGCGTTTTGGAAACCGTACGGCCACCGACTCCGTGCCATTTTATAAAGGCACGGTGAGATAACTTGAAATCAACGCTAGAATGGTAAGAATCACGGGACAGGAAAAGGCGCAAACGGCGAATAAAAGAATCGCCCAGAGCTAAAACACGGGGCTCAGCCATTGAATAACGGGAAAGATAAAAGGAAAAGAGGGTACTCGCCTAAAAAATGCTGAAAATTGGTTCAAACCAGCGGTGTGAACAACGTGATGGTGAGCGATCGAAAGGGGGCGAGCACATGGAAAAGCGCCCCTAAGAATGATATAGTCCGGAACGCCCTAAATTCTAATTGGCTGGAAATAAGATAGGCTTGGAACCTGCCGCCTTGGCCTGCAAACCATTATTAAATGCCTTGCCATAAAATCCCATTATGATGTCGTCATAACGGTGTCTTTTAAATGCAATCTTACAACCCCGCCATCCCGGGGTACACTTTCTGAATGGTCGCTAAGTACGTAAACAAAAAAATGCTGGCAAACCACGTTTTTTCGTGATTAATGCTCTTCTTTACTCACTTGCTGCTCTTGCTGCAAGCTTCAGTCCTGTGGCATTTTATTGTTACCTTTAATAATGATGCAAAGCCACCGCCACAGTGAATTTAGCGCGAATTCAGTATCGCGAGTCCGACCTCGGCTTGGCGTGTTAGCCCATCTTGAAACATTTACATGGCAAAATTTGACCTCGGCTGAAAGGGTTACCCGGTCTGGCAGACCGGGCTACCCGCCTTGGCGGGTCACCCGATTTATCGACTTTAGACCGGGCTACGCGCCTTGGCGGGTCACCCCACTTATCATGTAAGCGTGATCAAATTAAAATGAGAGATTATATGGACAGGCGGGTTACCCTACCTTAGCAGGTTAGCTCACCTACCTGGGGTCCCCCACCTCCATGTAAACAGGCCCTTAGACTATACAGGAGAATGCTAATAAATAATGGTCCATTGTCTAATAAATCAGCACCTTGTAAAATTTATCGCCCTACATAAGGGAATCCAGTAGAGTCTTTGATTCTGGATTCCACGCCGTGGATTCCGGATTCCAAGGACTGGATTTCATGTTTTCTGTCAGTAGAACTTGGATTCCGGATTCCTTGAGCTGTATTCTGCATACCAAAGCCCAAGATTCCAGGTTTCACAATAAAAAAAATTTCCCGGATTCCGGAATCCAGACTCCAGACGGAAATTTAGGTCGCGAGATAAACGTTTAACACCGTTTATGTTCCATTTTTCATGTAAAAAAAGTGCAAAGGTGATATAAAGATTTAGCCAGGGCTAAAAGCAAAGCTCTTGTTGATATCTATAGTTTATTCAAACAAAATTATATAAAATCGTGTTACACTAAGCGTCGACGGCAACGAACGTGACGAAAACAGCCAAAAAAAGTAACAGTTTGAATTAGCAAAAAACAAATTTCCACGTGCCACACACTTTTTGTGTTTATTTCTTTGCCTTTGTTTTGCACGACTATAACGTGAAACTTCCAGAAACGTCCTAGTTACACCCTTTACGGAGGAAATGCCTTATGTGTTCCTGATCATTATTTTTTCGGTACCGCTAATTTTCACCTTGGTGGGCGCTAGCATTTCTCTCTTTCTCACCTTCGCTATAGGTGGTTTTCACGTTTACGTCATCCCCGCCATGCTGGTGGACGGTAAACAAAAGATCACTCATTAGCTCGTTTTGCTTGTCCACCAGCATTTGTTCATTTCACCATTGTTATTTGTGTCTCCCGAGATTGCATGAAAACCACCTATAAGATTTTCATGTTTTCTTCCAACGAAATAGGTCTCCTCTGTTTTTAATCTCTCGGGGCTGGACGTACGTAAATACGCGTACGGACGACTTTCTCACAACCAAAATTTCTTGGATGCATAGATAACCACATTTTCATACCCATGGTGCTCCGCTGTGAGCGCGAGAGTTCCGCTATTATGATTATTTAAGACAAAATAATAAAATAGCTCTTAAAGCAGAAGATGTCCTTCAAGCCAACGTCTTACCATTTTGAAGTCGTACAAGTTGTCGCTGTCAGACAATTCATTGTGAGAGGGCAATTTCATATATGCAACGTCGTTGTCCTCGTTGATTTCAATGATCTCATCAAATCTGACCGTTCCTTCTGTGATATGGAGCATGCACTTTTCTGTAATCACTTTTTGCTGCGTTTCAAAGATCTCCCGTCCCCCTTTAAAATAAAGCATTTTAGGTAACAACATTTTCGTGGTTTCAGTTTTCCTTTTCCGGCCACGAGCATAAAGACGAATTGACCTTCATAAAAACTTAAAAACGGGGGCGGCTGTTTGTCGATACCTTTAATGACAAATAAACCTGATCGAATGCCGCTATTCGTTTGAATCTGTTCAGGTTTCGCTTATTCTTTATGTTCTTTCAGTATGAGTAAGTGATTTTGTATATTTCGGTTTAACCTGGCCATTAAAAAAAATTAAGGTAAGATAAACAAAAAAAGTAAATAAATAAATAACGACTTTTGAGACTGATCGCTTTTATCTGTAACAAACCTGCGGGTCCAGCAAGTTTTGGTACATTGTACTAATAATTAATGATATGAGTCATGGCTTTACGCCGAAAATCTGGGACCTTTCCATAGTATTCCCAAGCTTTGATAAAACAACAAAATTAATTTAGGGGCATTGTTGACGTAGAACACAAAGTTATGAACTATATTACAGTAAAATACCTTTTGAACTGTTGCTGCTCTCATTTCACAAAGGCAAGTAAACAATATCAAGGCACAAACAACAGAAGAAAATCCCTGAGGACGAGGAGATGAAAGAGAAAAAAACATAAGACTGGAGACGCCGTGACGGTATGTAAGTTTCAACTATCCAAGTAACAAAAAGACAGAATAGGAAAATGTTTTACCATGTTGATAGATTAAGATCAGTATGCTTAACTCACCATCTTCATCTTAGGGGTATTTACTGCGTTCTAGACGTTTTCCAAACTCCACCAGGAAAGGTTGCCTTCCTTTGATGCTGTTCATCCTATTTATGCTGAATTTTCACAACATATGAGGAAGTTATTTATATCAAAAATTGATGCTTCAGATGTGTATAGGAAGAAGAACTTATCAAACATGGACTAAAGCGGCTGCAGATATATGCTAACGTCTAATCACACCCGCCTCTGGCTCCTTCGTAACTCAGCCCCTGGATGCATCTTGAATCGAGGAAAGTGGTACCAATTACATTCCATCAATATTTTTAAAAAAAATGAGACCAGATATCGCACAATTTAAGTAAACTGAGGACAAATGAACCAAAGCTGGCGAATCGTAAAGACATCTTGTTTTGACCTACAATCCGGGTCATAATTGAATGAAACACTCCGGAAAACACGTCAAGATAAACTAAACACGTATAGCCTGTTCCAGGCGATCAATCAGATTGTGGGGAAGACGCAAAAAGATGTGAGTTACAAAAATTGCGAAGAGGTAGGCTAGGGGGTGAGAGCATCTCTCCCTCTTCCACTTTATCCTTCCTTTCTCTCTGACTTTGCGCCGCATTCCAGTATCTGAAAACCTACTATTGCTTCTCTCAATGTTGGTTTGATGTCGGTTTGCTTGGGCATATACGTTTTTTTTTTTTTTTTGTTACATCAGCTTTGAACGGGAAGGGGAGAAGTAATCAGCAGGCGTTTTAGTAATTATGACATGGAATGTAGCCCTGAACTATGCTCGGCTAAGGTTAAGCTCCAAGCTCTCTAATACGAACACCTCTATATTACGGACAGTTTCCTATGTCCCGACAAAATTCTCATATAATTTCTTAAAAAAAAACCCTCTGTGATACGGACTCTCTCTAATACGGACAACGAACACTAAATGTCGGCCCCGGAGGGTAAATTCAAATAAACCTAACCTCTTTGTAGATGGCTTTCTTAGTGACGTCATCAAATTGTAAAATCAAAATAGTCGGAGGTTTTACGAATTGTTATTTACACTAGATTGAAGATAAACAAAAAGTAAATCTTTGTACTAAGTCTCCATTCCCGTAGTATGTTTCTTTTCGAAAATACAGCAATTTGAACTTCCGAGTTTTCACAGTGCGTGACAACAAAACAGGAATGCTGTCTTGTTGAAAAAAGTCTCTCCTCTTGATTTTCAGCAGTATAACCATTTCACGTAATATATAGATTTAGCCAGGGCTATAAGCGAAGTTCTCAATAATATTTATAGTTTGCTCAAACAAAATATAAAATCGTGTAATGCTAAGCGGCGAAGGTAACGCCGGAGAACGGTGAAAAACAACAATAGGTAATTAGCAAAAAAGCAACTTTGCACGTGCAGCACACTTTTTTTGTATATTTCTTTGCCGTTGTTTTGCAGGACTACAACGTGAAACTTCCAGAAACGTCTTAGTTGCACGTTTTATGAAGGAAATATCGTACGTTTTCTTGTTCACTATCTTTTCACTGCCTCTCATTTTCACCTTGCATTGGTGGCCGCTAGCATTTCTCATTTTGTTACCGCCGCTACAAAGTTTTCATGTTGTTCTTCCAACAAAAAAATGTCTCCTTTGTTTTTTATCTCTCGCTCTAGATCTCTGTCGCTCTTTTTCTCGTTGAGCTTCGCTGGCCTAGCTGCCGCCTACTTTCTCTTTTTCTCGGTCTTTCTCTTGCTCTATATTCCAAATTTGTGGACATGACAATTAATCTAAGCTTAATACTTTAGAAAACACGGATACAGAGACAATTTCCGCTTTCCGTTTTCGTCTTCATTGACTCCTTAGTTGTCTGTGCTTCACAAGACGAGGGTAGCTATGCGACTTCCCGTCAAAATAACATCGAGTTGCATTTGAGACTTGGACAAATTGTTTACAAATTAGTCCTTCATAACATTTCATTTTCTTCGCTTCTTCCACTGGACAGTTTCAATTTATTTTTTTGTTGCGTGACAGTGAAAACGATCTATTACGGACACCGGGGCTGCAGCAAAGATGGCTTTCCTCAATCGTGATTGGTCGAAATTGCTCGCGTGAATCTTTGCAAATTGCTGTCCAACCTCCTCTGAGTTGAAATCCCAAAGGCTTAGTATTGTTCTGACTTTTGTTTTCTTTGAACAATAGGTGTATGCATAATTAATGTCCTGGGGTTATACGCAAAA